CAAATTATTTCTGCATATGAATGTATTGTATTACCATGTGGACTCTGATTGGACGGTGGAGAGGTACTCATGTTTATGTAATGATCTGTTTAAATGAAGATATCTCCAAATACATTCTCACTAGTTCTTTATGAGGTTGAAGATATCTCCAAATGAACAAGGAGTATGGCAAGCCGTTTTAACATTTAATCTGTAAGCAATACTAGTATCTATTTTCATGGTACTAGTATCTATTAAGTTCAGGATATCTCTGGTCTAAAAAGTTACTAGTAACTAAAAAATAAGTACTAGTTCTATTTTTCCTTAACAAGAAGAGTATAATTAAATACTAGTCACTATTGGAATAAGTACTAGTATCTAATGAATAAGTACTAGTACTTATTCCAATAGTGACTAGTATTTAATTATACTCTTCTTGTTAAGGAAAAATAGAACTAGTACTTATTTTTTAGTTACTAGTAACTTTTTAGACCAGAGATATCCTGAACTTAATAGATACTAGTACTTTTTAAATTAGCATTTCTGCCTGGTATGGTAATCATATGTTGAATATTAATGAGCCGGCACATATAGGAGCGAGATTAGACAGGAAACAGAAACAAGAAGATGGATGTACTTTTTTGAGGAAACCACATAGAAAAGAAACAATTATTTGTACACAAGCACATAGAAAACATATTTTTGTCAGTTTTGTAAACACTGTAATTTCGTAAACGTAGTAGCCTAATGTGTTTGTTGGTCATCGAGTAACCTCTAGTGGCAGGATGGAGATAAAACACCAATTTTATTGTCTGTTACTTTCCCATTTTTCCTCCAGTAAAAACAATAAATATCATACCAGGGCTGTATGTTAACTTTTTTTGCATATAGCACTGGTGCTACAGACATTTAATGTTTTACATTAATATTCTGTACAGGGCACACTGATGCTGCAGACAGTGAATGTTTTTACATTAATGTTCTTCTGTACAGGTCACACTGGTGCTGTAGACAGTGAATGTTTTTACATGAATGTTCTGTACAGGTCACACTG